GTGCCTGCCCCTGCCCCAACTCCCTCCCTTACCTCAGGGGTCTTGAATCCCCCTCTCCCCCCCAAACTTACTGGCCTGATGCTGGTCTCCAAGCTGCTGGGCTGCATATCAGCAGTTGCATCAGTATCAGCTGATATGGCTGGTTAATAATTGGCCATCAGTGTCAGCCAAAACAATCTTTATTGGTGTACCCCTTGTGTTTGAAACTAAACTCAGACTGTATTAATTTAAAATATATAGGTGCTTTCAAATCCAGCTGGGGCAAACTCTAAACACCAGTGAGTTTCTTTTATACTATGAACACTTTTACATACTACACTATAAAAATAGTATACAACTTGGGTATATAAATGTAGAGATAACCACCTGCCCCAAAACTGAAACACAAAATCACAACAAAACAGGTCTTGAAACTCATACCAACAAAATGAATCAAAAGTACCACTACTGCAGTCCATCAAGACAGCAGAGAAACAAAATGCAAAGTACAGATATTTAAATCTTCCACTCCCTAGTGTGATGTAGAACTTTGGAGGACTAAAAAATCTACGCTAATGTAATGCTTTTTTTCTTGTGATGTGACTCTAAAAATGTAAGTAATGATTTTAATTCTTTATGCTCCCTTGAGTTAAATCAATCTCAGTTTAAGACTCAGTCTGCATTAGCATTCTTTGTTCTTCATGTGTGATACTAATACATGTTGCTGAGGGACTAGACTTTTATTATTTAATTTATAATGCCATCCTTTCCAATAACGGCTCAGGGCAGCTTACAATAAGAACACAGAATAACTTTAAAACAGGAAAGGGACAAGAGGAGCAACACAACTTAAAAGAGAACTTAAAAATCAAGATAAAACATCTCATTCTAGTTTTGCTTGGCCAAATAGCAAAGTCTTGCAACACTTCTGAAGGATGGCAAGGCTTAGGATCTGGTGAGCCTCATGAGGGAGGAAGCTCCAGAGCTGAGAAATGACTGCTGACCTCCCATTCGTTTTCATCACGCAGACCTGGTGTACTGATGGCACTTGTAGGAGGTTGCTCTTGGCTGACTTTAAGGATTGTGATGGGGCATAGAATTGACACTGCATTAGATCAGAAAGCTAGATTTTGAAGAAACAAGCAAGCATGGGTTTTTTATCAGAATTTAAACAGTATTTCATACACCCTGGTATATTCATTCCCATCTTAACGCAGCAGACATGGAAAAAAATAAAAACAAGCAAATATAAAAGATATTGTGTGTGCATTAATATTGTAATAAATAGAATATTTTAAGGATGGCCATAAGTTTCATGCAAATTACATGTTTTATGGCCACTCAGCAGCTAAGTTTTAAAAAGTCCAACATTAGAGATTTATAAATATTTTAAAGTATAAAAAACATCCTGATTCCCTACCTGAGGTTTCTCACAGGTAACCTATGCATTTCTATTAAAAACTGACAATATTGTAGACTGTATGCAAATGCAAAGTGCAAGAACCATTTCTGTATCCTGATCAGACATTGCCAGTCTTGCAAGCAATAATAGAAATGCTCATCACTACAAACAATATAAAATCATTAAGATCTGCTCAGAAAGACTCTTGGATTCATCCAGGAAGAGCACACAGCAACTGCTGAAACTTCCTTAGCCTGACGAAGGGTTTTTGAACCTGAAAGCTTGCTTAAATATTGTTCTCCAACTATTTAGTTGGTCTAATAAAAGATATCAGATTCACCCAAAGCTTGTCTGCCTCTTGGATTCTGCCAAATTCCAAAATCTACCTGAGGAAAACTCCATCCAACCAAATTTGATCAAGGGTTCAATGAATCTGCAAGGCACTACAATGACTTTGTGAAAGCTCCTAAATACTATTTAGAATGAAGTACCCTTTCCCATCTGTGCAAATGGTCATCTTTCTTAGAAAAATCTGTGAAAGAAATAATTAAGAGACTGCTGAAGATAGACTGAAACTGTTGGAGACAGACACAGAATTTCTATGAACCACTGCTATTACTGTGAAGAAAGCTAAAGGAGCCAACCTCTCCTTTGTCACCACAGAACCAAAATCAAGGCACCAGCAGGATTCTTCTGGCTCACAAAATCAAGAACAAATCAGTTACGCTCAGCTGTAAAACACAGAATCTTTCTTATTTTGCTGAATCACTACAAAAAGGATCAAATGCATCTAGCATAGCCTCAAAATCACCCAGAAAATCAGCCAAAAGCAGATTCAAACATACCACGCTCTCTTTCCAAGAAGCTGTTCCATTCAGACATGTAGTAAAGAAAGCAATAATTCAGCATAGCCATCTGCCCCTCTAAACTCAGCTCTTCCTGCATGACCCACACTCTAAAGGTGATTGTCAACACTACCTTTGAAGAAACCGAATCTACTGACTACCGTTAAACATGTGGTAGTCAGACCGTTCTAAAGATACAGCAAATTCAAGAGGAGGTTGGACGATCACCTGTCTGGGGTCTTGTGAACCCAGCATTCATTCCTGCCTGTGGCAGGGGGTCAGGCTAGATGATCTGTTCAGGTCCCTCCTGACCCTAGCTACTATGAAACTACTGCTTGATGCTAGTTATCTCCCTGTGCTCAAGCTATTGCCCTGTGCCCAAACAACCTCACTCTTCTCAAACAAGCAGACTGATAAGTAGGGACCTACCAAAAGTGTACGATTTTTTGCAGAATACGCGCAAACAGGTGTTTTCTCAAGAAAAATTGTGGGCTAGCTGCAAAAAACCAAAAGCCATGCCCCCCTCCCCTGCTAAACAAACCCCATGAGGCCTTTAATGGCAAGCAGAGGGAAGCCCTGTAAGTCTTAGAGTACAGGGGTAGGGGATGGAGAGGGGAGGGGTGGGGGTGGGGTGGGCAGGCAGGCAGGGCTGCTTGTAGCAAGCAGCAGGGAGGCTACAAGCAGCCCGGGCTCCATGATTAGTAGAAGGGGCTTGCCCAGGCCCCAGCTGGCGATGGCAGGCAGCTGCTTGCAGGCTCCCTGCCACCTACTGTGAGCAGCCTGGGCTCTGTGGCTGGCAGCAGGGGCTTGCCTGGCCCAGTCTAGCTGTGGCAGGCAGCTGGGAGGCTGCAAGTTGGCTGTACCAGGCTCCATGCTGGCAGTGGGTGCACATGCACCTTGGGGCTGACTACAGAGAAGGGGTTGAAGGCAGTGTAACCCTGGCCCCTTCCCTGCTGCTGCCCAAGGTGTGCATGCACCCACTGTTAGAAAGGACTCTATGGAGGCTGGGGCAGCTGCTTGGGGATGACCTCAAACCATAGCTTAATTACCCTAAGCCCAGGGAAGCCATTCATCCACGCTTAGCAATATGTGGATTAATGGCTTCCCCAGGCTGAATCAGGGTAATTAAGCCACAGTTTCAGGCCATCTGGCAATCTGCAGGAAAGGGTGAGGCCCCTGGGGCCGCTTGGCCAGAGGCATGGTGGGGACCCACTGTCCTCAGCCTATAAAAACTGCAGCTGGCCATATGATCTGCAAAATTGGCTGGCAGCCTCCTCAAGGTAGGTAGATCCATATTGATAAGCTAGCGAAAATCAGGTTCCAAGGCCAGAAGACCCATGATCCCCCTAGGTCTGTTCCATGATTCTTCTTTATGGTGGCTATCTGCCCTTAGCTTGTCAAATTAATTAGTTGAGAGGGATCTTTCTGGCCTAATATGCCTACATAGTGATGGTAGCAAAAGAATTCCCACCTCTGGCTGTGAAAGAGTGCAACTTTTTGGCAAATCTTAAGTGAGACAGACCTGGGCATAGTGATACACGCATTCATACTCTCCAGGCTGGATTATCCTGCCTAAAAATAAAATTGCACATGCTGAGCTCTGCCTGGTACAGAACATGGACCACAATCTGTTAAACAACACTGGTCACCGCTGTACACCACTCTGGTGTTCTCCTTTTTGGGCTGCATTCCTATAACTTGACTATATAGTAAAGTTCAATGTGTCTGTCCTAACAAAAATGTTTCCTGGGGTTGATCTTAGCTATTTGAGAGATTGCCTTTTTCCCCCCCGATGACACCTAAACTTGGTGGAAACATTCAGGCTGTAGATGGAAATGCTGAGGAGTAAAGTTTTCCACAGAGGGGAGCTACACTGTAGAATTTACTAAGCCACATTTTGTACCTTCTCCTTTCTGGGCTGCCGCAGGGATTTAGCTCAGGCAGCCATGGAAAACTGCCCAAATGACCGCAACCTGTCCAGGCCTGCTTATGGGCAATATTAGTACCCAGAATTGCTGTAACATTATATGCTACAACTCCAGTGCCTCCCATTCTGCTTCTGCACTGGCCAGCAGGTTAAGCTGAAATATTCTGGAATTCATGAAGGGGCCTTCTGAAGATAGCCTGCAGCCTTCTCTCTCAAATCCTGGATTGTGTAAAGTTTCCATGCATTGGATCAAAGGCCTTAAGTCTCTCTTCTGCTGCATTGGTGTCTTTACCTAGCATACAGCAGCAAAAGCTTCACCTAGAATATATAACCATTACCATCCTAAAAGCTTGAATCTGGAAGGTGCTGAACTTTCCAAATTCCCACAAAGCACAAGGGAATTAGGAGAACACACAGGTTGTGTGCAGAATTATGAAATGGTGGGCCATAAATTGGTTATTCACTAGCATTTGCCTCAGACTACAGGCTATGAAAACCCTTGTTAAATGCAACATAGTCTCTTTGCACACTTATGACTTCATTCAGTTGGTCTGCCCTAATGTAAAGAACCCCCACCCCCAACAGCAACTGTACATTTAAATATCCCTTGTATACTAAGAAAGAGTGTCTTCCTGTTGTGCTAACAAAGACACATACTGTACATTAATCCCAATGGAAAAAGGGAGTGGTCACAGCTGCAAGTATGACTAATAACTGACACAGTCTTGCTGCACATGGCAAACAAATTGTCCCAGAAACATCGGTGTAGTTAGCATTTTTTCTAGGCAACTATTGTATTCATAAAAAAAAAAATTCTGTGGAGAATGAAATAGGAATTTTTACTTACTGATACAAGAAATAAGATCATTAAATCTTTCCTTAGGAAAGACAGGATTTTCCAGCCCTCGGAAATAGAGCTTCAGTACTCCAGCAACTGAGTTAATGTCATGGTTACTTTGGTCATCTGCCAAAGGATTTTCACCTTAAAAATAAAATAAAGTAAGTGAAACAGAAGAAACCCTTCTTGCTTAACAGTATTTTGTATAAATGGTGAAGCTTGTTTAGTTAGCTGGTTTGGTTTTTTTGGGTTTTGTTTTTTGTTTTTTACTGTGTGGGAAGTCGCAAAGAAGTAATCTAATAAATACTGGACTGGAAATTCCACCCTAAAATTAAAGCAAACATAGCTTAGGTCATGAAGTTCAGAATCAATATTTTTGGGACACATGATTTTTAGCTAGTGAAATAAAAAATAATTGAGTGTTCTCACTTAAACAGAACTTAAGACTATTCTTTAGTAACTTACATTATGCATAAAGTTAAAATATTTCTCTGGGGTTCAAAAGTATTTAAGGAGATTCAGGAATATATGCATTGCATAACTCTATAAGTAAACCACATATCTGAAGAACGTATAATTTTATAGACTAAACTGTATTCTAAAAGATTCATAAATTTATTACACAGCTTCCAGTCCAATGATTCCCTAGGAAAACAGTTACAGTTCAGTAAAGCGACAGACTACAAATGTGGACATAGAGAGGGTACTGTATCATTTCCATGTAAAAAAATGACTGCAAATGTCTAAAGTATCAGAACTGATTTTTACAAGGTATGCAGCTCACGCAGGAGAGTAAAAGTATCATCTACACTTCCTTCTGGCTACTAGTTACAAGTCAGTTATTCTCCAAGGCTCTCTCTTATTAAAAGGTGATCTACAATGGTTTTCCTGGAAACTGAAAAATGGTTTGTAAGATCCCGCAAGAAAGGATGTGTCTTTATAAAAATGTAATTACTGCTCCATTTTAACACAAGCTTCGAATTCCTATCTTCAAATCTGATTCCTTTGCCAGTTGTGACAAGACAACAATTGTAGACTAAGACAGATTGAACACCATTCATGTTTGTAGACAGGTCTCTAAAAATGTCCGCTCATTGTGCAGCTGCAACCAAAAAGGCAACAAAAAGTTGGGCATCTTTAAGAAGGGAACAGAAAGCATCATCATGCCATCATACAAATCCATGGTGAACTCACACCTTGAATACTGTGTGCAGTTTTGGTCTTTGTATCTCAAAAAGGATACAGTAGAATTAGAAAAGGTACAGAGAATGGCAATCAAAATGATCAGGGGTATGGAGCAGTTGACATATTAAGGGAGACTAAAAAGGCTAGGACTCTTCAGATTGGAAAGAAGGCTGAGGAGGGATGGACTAGAGGTCTGTAACATTATGAAATGTGTGGACAAAGTGAACAGGGAACTGCTGTTCGCCAAGTCCCAGAATACTAGAACTAGGGGACACCCACTAAAATATATGCGTCAGATTTAAAACTAACAAGGAAAGTACTTTTTATGCAATACATAGTTAACTTGTGGAATATATTGTCACAGGAAGTGGTGGAGGAAGATAGCGTAGCCAACAGAAAATAGCATAGCCAAAAAGGAAGTAGGCAAATTCATGGATAATAGATCTATTAACAGCTGCTGAACAGCTGGTTGGAGATATTTCCTCTGGCATCTCTAAACCAATGATAGTGGATGTCACAGAAGGTACTGAATAGGGGATAGATCACTCCAGACCTATCCAGTTCAGTGCTCTCTCTCTCTAGCATCTACTTATGCCATTGGTCTGACCCAGTATAGCACCTCTTAAATTATGTTCATCTCCTTGTATCTTTTGTACATATTCTCTGGGTTTGAAGTTTCCTTAGGAATGAAAACAGTGGTTTAAAATAGAATAATTTCTTTCTGACCAATATTATGCATTGTTCATGATGTCACTTTGGCAATGGGACTAGAAGGTACAGTAGTTACAAGATGCAACTGTATTTACAAGATGCAATTACAACAGCCTCAAACTGTGTTAAGTATTGTTCTGAATATCCATTTAAAAATAAAATCTTTCCCCTTTTGAGAATTTTTAAAATAGAAAGAAGTCAAAGAGAAGGCATCTTATGCAGTTCACCACTGACAAAAACTTTAAAGCAAGAGTCGCAAGGCTTGTCTACACATTTAACACAACGTAATCGTATGTTCCTGGTGATACAGGAAGTAAAACATGTAATAAATCATTATTTTACCCTAGAAATAAATATACAGATCTTCAAATTGCTAGGTTTAGCATATAGAGTACATGCAAACAGCTTACAAATCCATGAGAATGAGTAACATTTTAACAGATTTTTTTCAAGAATGGTACCGCAGGCCACTGATACAGATGAAAATACAATTACCTCTTTCAAATGAATTTTTAATATCATTGACTTCCACTTGGGAACCAGACACTCTGAAAATTCCCTGATGTTGAAGACCTGAAAGAAAAGGTGGGGAGGGATGATGGGAAACAAGAACTTATTAAAAAAACTTTTTTAAAAGTAGAGTAAAAACAACAAGATAAATGCCTTATACAAAATGGCCAGGCAGTAATTGAATGACATGTCATATTTCAGAGCTTACCATATAAATTGATAAATCTGACACAGCTTTCCACTATGAGAGGAATGACTTGTCCTGAATCCTGGGGAAACAAAATCATAAGAAGATACTGCAAACTGAAACAGAACCTCCCACAAATTGTCTGTGAAAACAGGTACTATTGTAATTCAAGACAGACTCCGTAGGGTCAATAAAAAAAAAAAAAAAAAAAAAAAAGCCTTGCAAACAAACTTCTCCCTCACTTTTGCTAGGATGCAAAAAAGTAATACGATTCTGATGAAAAACATCAAATCAAGGAAATTCAGCGTACCAGCTGAAACTTCATCCTCAGCTTATCCTGTTGCATCAGGTTAACTTAAGACATATAAAAAGATATAAAACTGACTTTCATGCATTTATTTTAGATTCTTAAAGCAAAATGAGTTAAGCAATGAATTTCCTGGATTTTCAATAGATCATTAATGTTAACATAATGAATATGATGCTTGTGCATTCATTCACCTTCTCTTTAATAACAGTAGTGAATTTTACATGCTATTGGACCAAATTCTTCTGAGTGTTTCCTTGTAGGGACAGGCTTGGAAGGCTTGGAAATGGGATTTGGTGCTACAGTGCTTCTGGCAAGTCAGAATAACTTCTCCATAGACAAGAGCCACCAAGAACCATTATGCAAGGTAGTAGGCTGTCCTACTTCCTTTGCTCAGTAGATCAAACATGCCCCCTCAGAACCTAGAGGGACAGTATGAAACTGAGGTGAGGCTTGAACCCCTGGTGTTGGCAGGGGAAGCAGACACATCATATATCTGGACTTTAAAAAAGCCTTTGATCCGGTGTCCCACAATCTCATGGAAAAATTGGCCAACTGTGGCCTCAGCTACACCACAGTCCGATGGCTGGGAAATTCGCTCTGGGGTCGGACCCAGAGAGTAGCAGTCGATGGAAGCGAATCATCATGGCGCTCTGTGACCAGTGGCACCCCCGAAGGGTCTGTCCTTGGACCAGTTCGCTTTAACATCTTTATCAACAATGTGGACGTTGGTGTCAGAACTGCACTGGCCAAGTTCGCCGATGACACTAAATTTTGGGGCATAGCGTCCACAACTGAGGATAGGCTAGTGATCTAGGCTGACTTGGATAAGCTTAGTAAGTGGGCAGATATAAACCTGATGATGTTCAATACCGAAAAATGCAAGGTACTCCACCCTCAGGGAAAAAACCCCGCAGCACGCTTATAGGTTTGGCAGTGCTACGCTTGCTAGCACCACAGCTGAAAGAGACTTGGGGGTCATGATTGACCACAAAATGGACATAAGCCACCAATGCAATGTCACAGCTGGCAAAGCAAACAAAACTCTGGCTTGCATCCATAGATACTTCTCAAGTAAATCCCAGGATGTCATCCTCCCGCTGAACTCGGCCTTGGTGAGGCTGCAGCTGGAGTACTGCATCCAATTCTGGGCTCCACAATTCAAGAAGGACGTCAAGAAGCTTGAGAGAGTCCAGAGGAGAGCCACACGCATGATCAGAGGGCAAGAGAATAGGCCTTAAGATGAGAGGCTGAGAGCCACAGGACTCTTCCGCCTGGAAAAGTGCAGGCTCAGCGGTGACCTGGTGGCTGCCTATAAGTACGTAAGGGGTGTGCATCAGGATCTGGGGGAACATCTGTTCACCAGAGTGCCTCAAGGGATAACAAGGACCAATGGTCATAAACTCCTCCAAGACCGTTTTAGGCTGGACATAAGGAAAAACTACTGTACTGTCTGAGCCCCCAAGGCCTGGAAGAGACTTCCTCCAGAAGTGGTGCAGGCACCTACTCTGGACTCATTCAAGAAACGTTTGGATGCTTATCTTGCTGGGATCCTTTGACCCCAGCTGACTTCCTGCCCCTGGGGCAGGGGGCTGGACTTGATCTTCAAGGTCCCTTCCAGCACAAATGTCTTTGAAATCTATTAAATCCATGAAACATAAATGGAAGGGTGGGGGAACCTGTCCCCACCAACGCCATGACTGCTGTTGCTAGCTAACCTGGAGGCTGGGGGTGAGGGGACAAAGCTGCTCCAACCGGGGGCTGTGGGAAGCAGCTGCATGGGGTGTCAGGCTGGGAACAGCAACAGAACAGTTTCTTTCTTCCAGCCTGCGTTCCCCCTCAGTGTCCTCTGCTGGCTGGGAGCAGGCACTGGATGTAGGAACCTGCCTGCCACTGCTGCTGTTGTGCACAGCTGCTCCCTTCAGCGTGGATTCTGGGGCTTCCTGTGCCTGCATCAGCTGGGGACAGTGGTGCTGGCACACAGGTTCCTCCTTCCAGCATCTGGCCCCAGCCACCGGTTGTGGGGAGGAGAGGGAGACAGACACCACTGCAGAAGGGACAGGTAGGGATTGGGAGCTGGAAGGAGGAAACTGTGCGTCACTGCTGTTGTTCCCTGTTGGGCATGAGACCCTCCACAATCACAGCCTGTGGCTGGAATGTAACAGGGGCAGCTCGGGGGCTCCCCCTGCACTAATATCAGTAGAGACAGCGGTGGCAGTGGAGACAGAGGGTGTGGCTGCATGGCCCTGGACCCATCCTGGGGCACACACATTAATGTGTAGCTTTAGAAGCACATGTTCCTCCTCTGTGGAAATCCATTATGTGTTTCCAGTGTCAGGAGAACCTAGACTGAAAGAGAGGTGAGATGCACCATTTACTCTCTTTTGGGGCTGATCCTCAATTAAATTTAATGGGATTATGAACAGGAATTAATACTGATATGGAACATACTGAAGGATCTGAACTTTCCATTTCTAAAGTATTTTGCCTTTGGCAACTTGAATCACTACCGTGGAATTAATTCTGTTTCATTAAAAGAACGATCGTTAAAAAAAGGAACTGTGGGTGGCAGAAAGGCAGTATTTGACCAGAAGTATTATTTGCCTGTTTTGCTAAAGCATTTTAAAGGGCTGCTACAGTCTTTAGTCTCTGTATTTTGGAATTAAAAAAAAAAGGGTACTATTTACCATAGAGATGTTAATAGCTCTGAAAAAGTTATAAGTTATGCACTGAGGACATGAATCATTACAATTAAAGTTATTTTTCAGAATATAGTTTATGCTTGAAAAATGACATTTTCATAATGAATACCTTCAAAGGTTAATTATCTTGGAAACAATCAATTTTTTAAAAGAAATTGCAAATATTAATTGCTTAGTCTATAAAAAATTCATTTTAAAGCAGTTGCAAAAAAGGAGTTACAAAAGCATAAGTAAAATGAAGGAAAAAACCTGGCATCTCAAAATATACACCCTTTTTCTTTTCCTCTTACAAATGAGTCCTTCATTTCTGTGACAAAACTAAATTAAAAGGAAAGGAAGGAGGGTTAGGATTAAGGCCAGGCAGAGACCCTCCAAGCCAAGCCTCTACAATTTTCTGTCCAGTTTACTACTGACAGGGAGTAGGCAAATATAGATATTTTTATATACATGAAAAAATGGTGAAATCTGGTACAATATACTTGATGAAATGGCTTAACTGCTGTTTTGATGTACTTAGTTGTAATGCTTTACTGGATTTCTCTCTCTTGATCCCAGCAATTAGGCTATTTTAAATAATAGGAATTTCCATATTTTACTTTAAAAATCTAAAGAGCTGCTTTGTTTTTTAAGACTAGAGAAAACTGGATAGCAATGAATTAACAAAAGCACCTGCACCCAAAATCACATTTTAGGTTGTATAGCGATTTGCCAACAATTAGATTAATTCTGTACCAGTAAAATAAGAAACAGTCCAGTTGCTAATCTGAGAATACAGTAGTCCTTAAAAACAATGAGTACCTTGACTGTCAGTGTATAAGAACAGCGTATTAGAATACATACGGCACATTTACTGTTAGCATATTACTATGCAGGAATGTAAAGCTGCCAAAAGGGGGTTGTTTGCAGTAAGAAATTACTAACATAAAAATGACTTTGTTGTAAGGCACGTTTTTAGAGCCTTCTTACAGAATTGAAACATTGACTCTGTCCATACTACCACAGTTGTCCAGCTCCTTTGCTAAACAAAAGTAATGGCTCTGAAATTTTGATCTATTTGCTGGAAAATAATTTGTTATGAATCTGATTTTGTTAGGTGTCCCAAACACTGACCCCTGCCACTCATATGAACTCAGATGTAATATTTGCTATGAACAAATACCTTTGGGTAGACTGATAATCATGTCTGAAGTCAGTTATGTGATAAAGAGACACTTTTCTTTAGCTGTAAACCTGTTGTAGGGTAGGTCAAAATGATTCAGTTCTTCCACAGTAAAAGTTTAGTCTTTGACTTGGGGGACTGCCCCCAAAACGTTATCGAATAATCTGTCATTAGGTTTTTTGTTACCCCCCTGCAGAGCTGGCATTATTTGGAACTGGCTCTTCCTTTGGGGTTAAGCTTTGTTACTGACCTCTTCCAAGAGCTCCTATTTCAAGATCTGGATTGTGGTGTAGGGCAGTAATAATCGTGACATTTTATCTTTAAATTCAGGTGTGCCAATTCCTGGTTTACTCTTATTTCTGTACAGGTAATTTTTGATGAGCTAATGTTTATCTCTTGCATAATATGCTGTATTTTATACTGCATGTCTCTATCACACAAAGACATATTTGCAATATCATCAGTCTCCAGTACAGTTGCACAGCTGTCATTGAAAGCTCAGTCAGAAGATGGTCGGACAGCAGTGGTGCAACTGAAAGTGGAATGTGTTCTGCAAAGTATGTATTTACAATTAGTGATGATACATAACAAGGAAAGGAAGGTTGACAGCTAAGATAACCTTTTTTTAAATTTAATTGCTGAACTAAACCATAGGGCTTTAGAACACATCACACTTAGGATGTTAACACACTTAAAATGTGAGCATCTGCACACTCAAGCAGTAAAACACATGCTAATTACAACTGGATCATATTGTGATTGTATTGTACCAAAGTTAGGACTCTTTGGGGGATGAGAATCTCCAGATCATATTAATACATGTTTCACTTACTGTCCAACCACTCCATGGAAATAATACCAGCACAGTTTGCTGGTTGTGGGTCCTAGCACTAGCACCGTACCAGAGTTGTGAACCAGATCCCAGGTTTGTGACCAGCAATGGGCTCCAATGTAATGCCAGGGCTGGGACCAATTAGATGACTCTCAGTCCCAGCTCCCACACCACACTGGAGTCTTGAATCGGTTCTGGTGCTGTGTCACATTGTCACATGTTATACTTAGCACAGCGTAGTAAACACTACCACGAGACTGCTCAGAACATATATAACTTTTAATACAGCATGCTAATGCCCATCACAATCTAAGTAAAACACGTGCTAAGTATCCTGTGCCCCTTATTCACTGGAAGCTTACTTTCTTCTTTAACATGGAACATTTGACTGCAAGTCTACCACTAGTTTTTGATCAGTGATTAGAGGCTAATGTAAGAGGGACTATTTATAATTGGAAGCTCATCACCTCATGACCTAGAAGTACAGTACGCAAAATTGAACCAATCTAATTTCTTAATGCAAACTTCCCCTTCCAGGTTATCAGGAAAGCTAATTTCAAGCCAGGCATGAATGCAACCCGATAGTGAGGAAGAGGCAGCTTTGTTTCCACTAGAACTATACCTGATGTCTGGTGTGAGAATTCCTTCGTCCTCGACTAGAAGCATTATTAGAAATAGGAGCATGAAAAAGAAGAAGATAGTAAATACAGCAAAGATACAAGGCACAGAATAGTGATCCTCAAAATTCCACACAATATAATTGATTCCTAAAGTCATGGGAAATCAAAACCTGATTTCAGAGCCACCATCATATTGGTTCTATGTGGGGTTCTGATTTAATTCAAGTAAATCTGCAAACAGTAAATCATGTCAGTTAGTGGAATATAAGATTACATCTTTTCTTTTAATGAACCACAGATTCCTAAAAAAACCAAAAAAACCCCAACCCCAGGAGGTCACTACCATCTGTACTTTGATTAAAGAAATTGTAAGGGATGTAAATGTAAATAATGTATTCTCCTCTTTCCCTCTGACTTCAGGAAGTATTATATTGATCAATGGGGAAAGAAAAGAACCCCAAGACAGAATTGAACATAATGATCTACCTCAGCTCACATGAGGTTTTGACCATTATAGTGTTGAGATCAGCCACCCAGATGGCTGGTGCCAGTACCTTGATGAATGATTCCAAATCACCATTAAACAACTTAGCATTATATTGTGATCGGGGTCTGGGCTTCCTGTGTTTCTGGGGTTTAGGGGGAAGATTTGGAGGCCTAAGGGGAGGGAATATGATTACTGAGCAAGGTAGAATTAAGTCACACAATAATATAAAATATCTGTTAAGCTCATGACAATAGAATAAAACGCTGATGGGGAAAAAGGAAAACGAAATCAGCATTTGTCAAATAAAGACATTCCACAATATTTAAGTGTAATATAATTAGTTAAAGAGGAGGAAAAAAACCCTGCGATAAATAATGTCCTCATGGATAATTCTGACATTCTTCACAAATCCTCAGCTATAGTTTTACTCTACCCATTTCTTCAAACACTGAATGACCGAAACAGCTTAATGTTGTGTTGCCATGCATGAACCATGCAGCAGAAACTGCCACCCAGCCTGCCAACCCCAGCAGGATCCACCAGCCTTCTAAGCACCTCTTTTATCAAGTGGACAAGTTGTCTCATGCTGGATAAACTTTAAATGAAAATAAGAGCTACTCATCACACTCCTCCCCCACTTCAAAAACAAAATTGTGGACATTTCCAACAAGTGCCAGTAACTGTTAAACAGCTTTAGCCTCCCACATCCATACTGTCAACATCTTTTCACAAGGAAAGAAACACTTTGCAAATTAGCTGGAGGAATTAAAGAACACCAGCAACATAAAAACAAAAACAACCCCCCCACACAACATCTTTGTCTAAAAGATGTCTTCCTAGTATCGTTACACAAAACACATCTGATGACTACAACTCAAAGGGATTACAGAAATAAGTGTTTCTCTCTTAACTCAGTTTGTTTAGTTTGTGCGCTTGACAGCATTGCATGTCTAATCAATTACCATTTCCCCTACAGAGCCAATCAGATTAACTGGTTTCTATGGTTCTTCAGGCAGGAGCAGAGAACATTATTATACTTCAAAAAGTGGCGCCAGGTATCTGGCTTGGTGTACTATTCAAAATGACTTAACTCAGCTTTAAAGAAGGCCTCTACCCTTGAAGATGTTTTTGTTACAGAAGTGCTTTAGCAGAAGCAAAAACTATACCCAAGCAGAGCTAGCTGCCTTATGAAACAAACAGTGTGGATGATTTCCATCCATTGCTATCAGATGGGAGACTTGCCTGGACTCACAGGAAATAGGAAAGTAAGCTTTGAGAGGACATCATTAGTTCCCTGCTCAAGGCAGGATCTTTCCTGACTAAACTACAAGGAAGTGGGAAGGCTGGCTTGGGAATGCAGGGTATACAGCATATTTGAGCGAAGCTCAACCCATCACTACCTGGCCAGAGTAAGAAGGAGCTGACTGGCCTTTCCAACTCCTCAATTTGTTAATTTAAAGCACTGGCCTTTTTGGAACATATTGCCCTTCCCTCACTGTCTCTGATTGTAGTATAGGAGTTGAGTGTCTTCAAATGTTACAGCTGTGACTGATCCCTGCTTTGTGGTTAGGAGGGATATTTTTTGTAGTGGCCTGGTGGTTCTTTCACTTTCCTTGCAAAATCTGGGAGGCAATTAACTGAAGCAGCACTTGGACAATAATGTCAGAAGTTTGCAGGAATGGTTAGTTAGTCACAGCCTGCAGATGGGGCTGAGTGTGAATAAAGGCAAAAAGGACCAGCTCTCAGAGGTAAAGGTGACCTGGGATTTTGCTGAGGTCTTTACAGAGAGTGGTCTCCCTTTGGCACTCTTAGTCCACCTGCTCATGGGGTCAGGAAAAGAACAAAAGGATTTGAGAGAGACAGTTGAATCCTACAGATGGGCAGAACAGAATCTATGTAGAATTATGGGTAGTATGGTAGGATCCCTGTAACCCCTTGCACTAGACCCATTAAAATACCTGCTACAGGAGAACTAAGCAAGTCAGAGCAGATGGCACCTTTCCTCAATTTTAAATTTAAGAAGGGGCAGATTACCTCTTAATCCCTCCCCATGTTGGTTCTCATTCAATTGTATATCATGCTCAGATGGACGTGAGAAGGCAGAAAAGTTTTTGGTTATTCAAAAGTATTTCTTACCTATTCCCCAGCGAAAAAAGCTAAGTTTCCAACAGCTGTATTTCAGCACTTCACATATTTGACACTGTTCAAACAGTTCACAAGGATATTTTATAATTCCAGGAATAGATAGATTGGTTAGACCTTTATCAATGTGCTTGCTATAAAAGCATTATCTTGGACACTAAAATGTGGAGCGCATAAACTGATTTACAGTTTGGTTCATCATAATGTTATTTTTGTAATACTTCATGAAATACTTCATAAAGAATTGTTAATTCTTTCCATTTTAAAATTTTATCATCTCTGTAGCTCTCTACAAAATAAATCAGCTAAAAACATCTTACCTTGTGGTCATGTATTCAGCTCTGTGACCTGAACGAGTCCAGTGAAGAAGAAAAAAAATCATGTGTAGATTATGGACATAGGAACTTGTTTTTGTATGCAGTTATATTCATGCTCGCCACTGTCAATGCTGTTTAACATTAAAGTGAAATCATATAACATCTGCACTACAAGGTAGTGTAGCACAAGCACAAGAAGATCTAGAGTGGCAAATGTTGCATCTATATTAAAAAAATAAGTCTCTGGGAGCAATCTGGAGAACCAGAGGGCAATAAGTCTTACATCCATCCCATATAAACTAGTTAAAAGGATAATTAAAAATGAATAGTAAAACACCATGATGGTCATAATACAAGATCTAGCATGCATGGTTTCTGCAATGGGAGGTTTATGTTAGAATTCTTTGAACACTTCAGTAACTGAATGGAAAAAAAGACAATCGTTTTGCTTCCTGGTACACATGCTGTGCCATGCTAAGCTTGAGAGGTGGCTATACAACTTCTGGTTTGGCAGCAGCGCATGTAAAGCAAATGCAGTATGTTTCAGTCTAGTGCTGCCTGCTGCCATTACTGAGTAGTATAGAAAGACCTATAATACATAAAAAATGGGATGAAATATAACACAAAAAATATAATACTGTTCTGCTGCATGGTATGTATCTCAGTGGTGCTGCCTCATTTAGAAGGCTTTGTGCAAGGTAGTCTCAAAAAGCATATTGCTAAACTTGGGAATAATAAAACCTTGGAAAAATTTTCATACGAAAAGAGATTTTAAGGCTGGGTTTACATAAGGAAGAGGGGATGTGAAAAAAACAGGCAAAATAATTAATGATAATGAGAAAGTAATATAGTGATAGAATATATAGAGGTGCTCCCTAACTAGGAAGACTATGGGGGTTGAGAGTTCAGAGGTGGTCCCTCAGTTAAAGTAGTTAGTTAGAAAGATCTCAGATGCTTATTCACTGCTCCACAATGAAACTTGCTGTTAGTTCTTCTCCTTTACTGTATGCCGGTATTTATTGGACCTGGTGATCCTTACACACAAGACAGAAACTTTTGTTCTCCTTAATCCATTTCAGATAAATGAAAAGATGGCCAATTCAAAACTGATTAAAGGGAACACTTCTTACACATACACTGCATACTGAAATTGTAGAACTCTCACAGGATGTCAGTAAAGCAAAATATTTAATGAGAGTTTAAAAGGGGAAGGACATTGATATAAATAACAAGAATACCCAGAATAGAATAGTTAATGCTAGCATATTCTGGAAGAGATGTCAAAAATCTGAGATTCCAGGGCTTAAACCAACCCTCTATCTATTAAATCAAGGATGAGACCTATTGGGAAAAGCAGATTATCCCACATTTTCCTCTGAAGTTTCAGGTACTTGCCCATGTTGAAGAAATGAGGCTGGATGAAATGAAGGCTGGTTCTGAATTGGTATGGAGGGGGTGTTAGTTCTTGCTGTATTTCATTTGATTGGTTAGGAGTAATTAAGGAATCTATTTATTAGTGTTATTTAAGTAAAAAAGTCAAAGGATATTCAGAGCATTCAGTAATTTATAAAAATCCAAATAACTCTTACACTGGCTAGATAGTAAGAGTGAATAAGAATCATCTGCAATAAATGAAATTACTTATCCGTGTATATTAGCTATACACATGGAACAATAATGAATTCAGCATACTACCCAAAATCCAAATACAGTGAAACCTGTCTAACACAGAATTGCACTAGCCTGGGGAAAAGTTCCAGCCTAGACAGTTTTCCATCTTATGGCAAGGAGCAGAGGCACCTGCTTCCCCTGGCTCCCTGATAGCCTGTCTAGCAGAGAGCTGTCAGGAAGTGCTGTCCTCTACCCAGTACCATGGATCAGCTGAGCAGCAGAAGTACACAGGTGGTGGTTGTTAGGATGACTGTCACCCTTTCAGTCTTTAGACCCTGGCCTTACACTTGGATTCACAGGTGTAGACTCCTGTTCTAGTAGACCTAAATGTAGACTAGGGCATTCATAAAATTTTATTTCCATATATACAGAACTATCTGAAATAAATTGGGAAGAAAAAGCAGTATGTTTTTGTACAGTACTAGTATCAAAGTATGTCCAGTAGTGTATTGTGAATCAAATCAGAACAGACATCTTTTGTTCAATAAGCTCCATTCCCAAATATATTATTTTGGCCACAGATATGTTCATACAGAAAAAAAACCTCTCATGAGGAAATAAAGGTAGTTTATATCTTATAGTCTGATCACTGGAGCAAAATGGTGACTGGTAAAGAGATTAGGCCTATATTAACAGGGCACTGGGGCTGTACTTTCCTCCTATGCAGACTTTATATATTTCACTGGGTTCATCACACACCCTAGAATAATTTTTCAGTTTATTCTGCATCATTTACCTTCTCCAAGAGTCCTCTGAAGCAAGTCATGTTTTGCTTGAAGTTTTGTGATAAGATTACTCCCCTCCAGATATTCTCTGAATTTCTGCAGAGATGAAGATTTAAGGGATTATTATATATGTCATTTAAATTCCAGGACCTTTTCAGGAGTCATTTTTGGAAAAAGATGCTTCCTACAGGTGTTTGGACTCTGTCACCTGGCTGAGAAAGTACTGGACATACCATGAAATAGAACTGTTCAGTCTCTTGCTGGTTAGCTCTTCTTTTTGCAATGCTGGGCTTGCTCAAGTATGTCTCTGAGACTGTTGACTTCACAGACTCTGTAGAGCGACTGTGCTGGAAACATTCTGAAACATCATAGTCTTCGATGGTGACCATGTCCTGTATTGTTTGTAAAGTAGCTTCCGTGGTTTTTTTAACCTGAGGTTAAAAGCACAATTTGTCAAAGAGAAAGGAAAATAAATCCTAGAAGCAGCTTAAAAGGCAAACTCATTACTAAAATGAATTCACTGTTGCACACTTTCTAAATGAACTACAGTGTATTCATTTAGCAAATTAGATGCTATTTGCTGGTAGAAAAATAACAAAATGAGATCACTAGGTCCTTGGTTTAGGTCTATGCTTGAATAAGGTACAATAAAAGCAGCTATAGCAGGTGTGGGCAACTGTTTTGGCTGGAGGGCCACTTTATGAGCTTTGGTGAATTGTTGAGGGCCGCAAGGGTAGCCTTTACCCTTGACAGGTGCCCCACCCCTGGTTGCCATCTTGGGACTGGAAATCCCATCCCTAACCCCTGACCTTTGCCACCAGAAGTCCCTCCCCTTGCCCCTAAAATTACTCCTTTTGGGAAGGGGGTTTGCCATCTTGGAACTAGACAAAAAACAAATCATTTACTAAAAATCAAACACCTACAGTAAAAGCTGCCTTAATTGGCACCTTACAAGCCGGCATGCTCTATTAACTGGCATGCTGGCTTGTAAGGTAACAGTGAAACCGTAAGTGCCCACCATGGCACTTCCAGTTTCACTGAGTCCCCACAGCCCGGGGTATAGCAGCCTGTGTGGGGCCCACCTCCCTGTCCCTCGGGGCCTGTGGGAAGGGTGGGGATGCAGCGGGAGGGGCAGTGATGTGGCAGGAGGAGGGGTGGTGACACCCTGGATGTGGCAGGAGGGGCAGTGGCCTGAACAGGTTCTCAGTTAACCGGCATATTTTGTTATCCGGCACCCCCCATTCCTCTGGGTGCCAGATAACAAAGCTTTTGCTGTATTATAACATATTTAATTTAAAAAATATTTTTGCCCTTACTTACATGTGTTTGTGTAGTGTGTATAGAAGCAATCACAAAATAGCTCAAACTAAAGTCTTACTTCTGTATATTGTGTGTGGGATGTGGTTGGGGGGGCGGGATGTCTGTGTGGTAGCGTGTGGGGGGGGTGGGCATGTG